GAAATCTTTGTACAAGATGCAGTCACATCAAGTCTGTGACTTTCCTTTGCTTCCATGAAATCCATGTACCTGACAGTTGTCTTTGTTCCATTGTAGGAGTTATCTCAGCCGTTGACTGTGCATGTAGAAGGTGGTTGAGTTTCTTTCACTCGTTGATTAAATGAAATTTGATTTTGCTTTGCCAGCCTTCCTAGGTTACTTGGTCATGTATTGGGACTACTTTGTAAACTAAATATGAGCTTTATTTCTGATTGGATAAATACATTCTTACTTGTCATTGAAGGCCTGTCATCTTAGTTTTCTACATCTCCTGGAGCTCATGCTTTCTTTATCCACAAAGCTTGCAGTTGGTTGTCTGGTAAAAACCTTACTGATAGGAATATAGGGGAGGCATTGTTAACACTTGCAGATGAATAGTGTTTAAGTTTCTGCTTCCATTGGCTGAAGCAGCATGGTTGATGGAAAGAAGATGATCTTGGCATTTCTGTTTGTTTGTTTGTTTGTTTTTTCCTGCTTTAATCTTTCTGAGCCTGTGTCCATTTTGCAAATGGTAAGAGACCTAGAACAGGTCTGAATTAAAGTTAGTGAGTATAAGGCAATTAATTATCAAAGTGGTTGGTAAGAGTAGTTACTCAGAAAAATGGCAACCTTTGTCATCATTGAGTGATTTTTGTAAAAATCTATGAATATTGACTATTTGATTATGTTACTGTTAGCCTGCTACTAGAGTATTTAACATATAAACTATTGACTCACCCTACAGAGCAGATTACTAGAAATCATGCTTTGTGGAATGTTTCTTGCTAGCAGGCAGCATGTACTGAAGGATCATTGTCTGACAGGTTTTATACCCTTTTAATCAACACTGGTGATTTGTGCTAAAGGAAGTTGGTTTTTATTTTAATGTTGCATGTCCTCAACCACATTCAAATTATTGCCACAGTGAAGACACTTGGAAGCAGGTAAGTATTAGATATTAGGAAATTCCACTTGTAAGTAATCTTTAATCCACAGGATTTTTATAGCAAACGTTTGTGTTTTTCCTACTGTGCAGTACCTTGAGTACCTGCCAAGCCAGATAAATAACAGGCTCTGATGATTTTGCACCTGGTGTCATAGAAACAGTGGGAATCAAAGATTAAAGTGGTGCATATAGTGATCAGGTTTCCTGGGGCAAATTGAAGCAGTGCTGTGAGAGTTATTTAGAAAATCCAGATTCAAACCTGTTTTATGAAAGTGGAGGCAATATTGATTGAACATTTACTATGTGCCAACCTCTGTACTTAACATTTAGTGTGCTGTATTGATTCATCTTAAATATATCCCTGGAAAATACATGTCCTGACTAGAGATACGGCTTGGAGGTTTAGAACGGTTCTAGAACTCACCTAAAGTTCAACATTAAATGGCAGGAACAGGAGTCCATTTTTGCAATGCTGCCATTGAAATCTGGCATGCCCTCTACCCCCCAGTTTCACAGGAGAATTTGACATCTTGTCAGTTTGGCAGTAAAATCTTTACTGTTAGATGAAATTGTATGCTAGGAAAGGAATATGCAAATAGCCTTTTCTTTAGAAGTAATGTTCAGAGAGCAAGAATGAAATTCTCAGCTATCCAAGGTGCATGTGTACACTAACACATGCATTAGCTCATCTTTCTTAAGTGTGAGCTGAAAATAAGGTTTAAGTGATGGAAAGTTAACCCTACTAGAATCTTCCAGAACCCAGGTTGGGAATTCAGAATATAAAAGATTCATATAATTGTCAGTGGGACTTTCTCACATGTAATTTATATAATAATGTCCACAATAGCTGAATAGTGGTCACATCAGAGGACACAATCTCAATATTCTTCCATAGTAATGCTGTAGCTTTCATGTGCCAGACCTCCTGCTTATCCAGCTTCTTAAATTATAGTCTTCCAAATGTTACAAACCTAGCTAGTAGAGATGCTGAAGTTTATGCACAAGTTTCTTGCTCTAGAGGTAAAAGCTATGTTTGTGTGGGATTACACATGTCTGACCCTGGGTATATCAGAGTGAGTAATTAAATTTTTCCTAAGACTTTTTTTAGATGTCTTAACAGCATTTTAGAATTTTTTTGATCTTCAAGCCATATAAAAATGACTAAAATTTCAAAAATGTTAAATTCTTCTGTCTAAAGAAATCTTTGAGTTATAATTTTAGTAACATTAACTTTTGTGTGATAGATTTCCTTTGTAAAATCCCAATTATGAGACTGAATGCTTAGTTTCTAACATCTGGCTTTTGAGAAGGACACAGTGAATGCATTACTTTAGACAGGTTTGAACAGTTCTGTCTGGTATTGCCATGTGTTCCTGTCAACTCTTACATTCAGTGTTGACAAAATTTGAAGTAGCAGATGTACCGTAGATCCTGCAACTTCATAGCTATGAACACGCACTTCCTTGGTTTTGGATCAGTTAGGTTTTGATTTTGTGATCATTCTCATGAGGGTCTAAGATGTAGTGGAAAGAAATGAAGACTGAGGACATCGGGGAATTGCCAGCATGGTTGGGCATCAGTACCAAAGACAAGAGAAAGCAGATTGGTGTGCTTTGTGAGTCTGCGATCTGTTTCCACTGAGGTATTTTTGAGAAGCCTCTCAAGTGTGTGCCTTGTGCACTGCACATGTTCCCTTTAACAAACTGTGACTGTGCTGCTTGATTTGGAAGCACCTAGGAAAACTGATCACAGCCTACCAGCTTCTGGACAAGACTGAAACTGGAACTTGTTTTGTAGACCTAGCCTCCAACTCAGAGAGATCCACCTGCCTCTAACATGACTGAAGGCGTAAGTCACAAACAATCCCACAGCAGTTTGGAATTATGATTAATAAGGTGGTATTTATTTAAAGGGGAAAAAAACTTACAGATCACCGTCCCAGACAACAGCCTTCTGTGCAATCAGGAAGGAGTCTAGTCGCCAGAAGTGGAGCAGGAAGTAAGAGAGAGCGAGGAGGGAAGACACTGCTTTTTTAAAGAGAGAGACCACGCCCCAATGGGCTTGGTATCTCAGCGGCTATTGCCTGGAGGAGCGGAAGGACCTCCTGCAACACTTGACGTCGCTGGGATTAAAGGTGTGTGCCACCATGCCTGGCTGTTATCTTTTTTTTTAAGTCATTTATTTGGTGGTGGGTGAGGGTATTGGACAAGTGGCAGACTTTATTCTTTCTTCTGACCATGTGACACTGGCCAGAAATATCGTCAAGTGTCTCCAGAAATACTGTTAGATCGTTATCAGGGAGCATGAAAGAGTAAATAACTGCAGGTTTCTTCTGCAATTAGAACAATTACTGCAAAATAAAGAGGAGCCAGAGTTGAGATTTCGGGACCAGAAAGGTTTAAAACTGCTTCTTTGGGAATGGCAGTGGCAGTGGCCATGAGCCCTCCCCAGTGAGAGACTGTGTGGGTCTGCCTCCCAGAGAGTAATAAAGTTAGTGAAATCAGCTAACTGACCTGCAGGGCTTTCTTCTTCTTCTAATAAAAGCTCCATTTCAGTAGCTGTTTAATAGGAAAGGTTTGTTACAAACCAGTGTTGGGTGAAATTGACTGATGAAGTGTTACTGTTCCAGCTTTTGAGAAGGGAAACAGCAGTGTATACGTGGGTACTGTGGCAGGCTGGGTCATGGTTCCCAATACAGGGACCTAAAGGAATAATTGCAGTGCATACGTAGATGAGTGAATTGACTGTGGACGTAGACAAGATAGTGTCTACCATTTTAAAAAATCATATGTGTGTACTGCTCTGCAAATAAACACAACTAAAGTATTATTGAATTCACATCCATATTATTATTATGGATATTTTTCAAGCCACAAATACCAGAAGTTATTATTACCAGTGAGTTCCTTGTTCTCAGAATCTCAGGGAATGTACTAGAAGTATGGGGTTACACTTGTAGTGTGACTGGACAACCTCTCCACCTAGATCCTGCATGAGGCTCCTTAGGAATCTAGAGGACTTGGGGAAATACACTGAGTGGAACATTTGGTCCAAAGCTCTGTTTGATGATCTCTGTGGCCTCTTGCCTAGGCATCATGGGCAAATACTGCTTCAGTGTGGTTTGTGAGAAATGGTTGAAAGTACTTCCTTGACACTTTAAATCTCCATAATTTAAAGCTTTTGTTATTTATTAGTGTATCATTAGAGATATTGTTCACACTTAGTATTTTCAGCCCAGCTGTTTCTCACCTTAGCTTTCTCCTCTTTCTGCTAGGTGACGTTTGTTTTTGAGTGCCATATGGTTCCCATGACATTCCATGTAGAATGTGTAGAGAAGTGTGTTTGATACTGGTGGACACACAGCCTTTCTAAGATAATTTTTATTGATTATAAGAACAAGATGCTAAAACCTTCAAACAGTTTTTTCTTTTAAAGGAATAATTTTTGCTCTCTATGACCTGTTTTCCATGCACCACTAGAGAGTGTAGCATTTTAAGCTAGATCACATTTTCATAACACATTTCCATTGTTAGCACTGCTCAGATGTTGGTTACCAAGAGACTAAAAGCCACTTAGCTACTGCGTGTGGACTCTCATCACCAGAATTTAGTTTTTAAAACATAATCTCTTTCTCTTTTTCTTTTTGATAGAGCTGGGAACTAAGAAAATTGTAATTTGATCTTTGATTGACATAAAAGATTAAAAAGCATGTCATTGATCTGTCTAGACTCAGGTTTATGTTGAGAGTTTATTTACACTTTCTTCATTGTTTTTTATCACTGCTAACTCATTAAAGTTTTTATAGTTTTTTTGAAATTTAGTTGACATATAATTGTAAATATTTACGGAACCCAATTTGATGAAGTTCCACATATGTGACCACAAAACCATCTTACAGTGTGGACAGTGAATATGCCTATTCTTCTGTATCCCTTTGTGCCTCTTTGTCCTCCCCCACTGACCCTAGCTCCCCAGTGCTCATGTTTGGGTCAGGACAGACCTCACAGTGTAGCATTGCTGATACATGTCCTTTTAGTTCCAGTTCGGACATCATAAGAGACCTTCTGGAAGAAGAGGAAGCTTGGGAAGCATTTCACAGGTGAGTTCTCATACTCAGCAATGTGCGAGTTTGGGCCTGAGAAATGAGCACTCTGTGTAGCTGCTTCTATGCAAGACATTTGTGCTTTCTGACAGATGGAAGAGACTAATAATCCAGGTGTAAACCAAAGACTTCTGCTGTGTTTCTTGTCTGTGTAGTTTCACTGTGGAACTGGAGTCCTGGTGCAATAACTAGTTACATGTAGATCTCATTTCTATGTCCATGATATTTTTTTTGACAGTGTGATAATTTGCTAAGCACAGATTGACTAAACAAAGAAATATCCTTCCTCGTGTCTAAGGTGAATTTCTCCTTCAGCATCATTCCTGCCCCATTGTCTGGAGCCACCTTCTTCTGTCGTCCTTATCTCACACAGGCAGCCTTTCCCCTTTTAGTTGGGTCTTTATTGTTTTGTCTTTGATGTACAGGGGCAGCCTCTCTAGCCACAGGTGATCCTCCTTCTCTCTTCCTTAGTAGTGATGTCATCTTGCAATTTGTTTCTTTAGCTTTCATTTCCAGCCTTCTTTGACAGCCTCCATACTGCTAAATCTAGAGGCCATTCAGAATTCACTTTCCTCGCCTCATTAGCAATGTTTTATACAAAGCAGGAAGATCAGAAGTTCAAGGTCAGCTTTGTATCAAGTTTGAGGCCAGCCTGGGCTACATGAGATCTTGTGTTTAAAATGATGATGATGATGATGATGATGATGATGTTTTAAGATAAGTAGAACAACTTCAAAGTGGATTAAAATGCTACAATAGAAGGTATTTGGATAACACCAAAGAAGACAGAGAAATGACAAAAAAAAGGACATACAAATTCTGCTTTATGAATGATTATAGGATTGGGTTATACAACCCAATCAGAATATAGACTCTTGCTGGATGGATTGATTAAAAAAAATGTACTGTGCCCCTGTGCTTTGTCTACAAAAAACAAATTTTTGATTCCAAGACACCAATATATTGAAATCAAAAGAACAGAAAAAAGATATGCCATAGACGTCCTGAACAAGTCTAACATAATGATAATGTTGACAAGATAGACTTGAAGGTAAAAAGCGTAACAGAGCCAAAGACATTTATGATGCTCGAAAAGGTCAAACTATCAAGAAGACAAAATGATTGAGAACATGTATACATGTAACAAGAGTCCCAGAGTACATGAAGCTAAAGATGGAATGGAAAACTACCATAGGCAACAAGAAGTAAAATTTCATTTCATCCCCCCACCCCCAAACAAATCCAAAAACCGTTGCCGTGAAGACAGACTCATTTTCATCACAGCCCTTTGTGGATAGAGGGCCATGCAGGTTACAGTGGACCTGCAGAATTGCATGCCGATGGTACAACACTCAGAACTTGGGCCTCCTGCCTTCCTCAGAACTTGGGAATTCTCTGGCTCTGTGAGTTCCTCGTGTTCTCCAGGCACTTGCCCATCTCTGCTCTTTTAAAGTGCTATGTCAGGAACAGTGTTCAGACATACTAAGATGGAGACCTTCCTGGCTCTCATTCTCATCTTTTCTGTATTTATTTGTCTTTTCATTTTCTTGGTACCGTTTCTCTAAGTATAGCTTTTAATTTTTTGATGAAATGTGTTATGTCTGTTTTAATTATTTTCATCCAACCTAGGAAACCTTTTTATAATCCAAAGTCACCATTTTTTTTTCTATGGCTTAGAAGTATTAGGTTTTACATTAAGGTTTGGAACTTATTGTCATAAGGTATGATGATGACTGGTTCAGTGGTTCTTTTTTGCATAAGGCTTTTCCATTGCTATAGCATTAGGTATTAAAGAGATGGCTCATGTCTATTTCATAGGTGTGTATATATTTGTTTCTGGAATTACTCTTGTGTTTATTGATCATGTAGAAGTCTTTTTAACACTTCATAATTGCTATTTGATAGTACTTTAAATCAGGTAGTTTGAAACTTTTTAAAATAAATGTAATGACTAGGGTTTTGTTGTTGTTGTTGTTATATTATTTTTGATAAACGTGTAAGGTAACAGGAAGGGATAGATTGTTCCTTGGTAGTATGGCTGCTGTTGCCTGGGGTAAAGCTGTGATGACTCTTGGGCCAGAGGCTGGCTGTGCTCCTCTGTGTGCCATTTCCATTCGACATGCAGGTTCTGGTTTGTGAACCTCTGATAACCTATCCTCGTAGAGAGTGGCGAAGTCTTTAACATCCACGGGGGACAATTGCGTCATGTAGTAGGTGGCTTAAACAATAGAAAAGCATTTTCCCACAGCTCTAGAGGCTGGAAGTCCAGGATCAGGGTGTCAATAGAATTGATCATTGAATACTGCTGTCCCCAGAAAGGTAACTTCTCTTTTTGGCCTTTTTGTGGTTAATGATTTTAAAAATGGTATTGATGTTATGCTGTTCAAAAACTCAGGATTCTAGGACCAGTAAAATGACTCAGTGGGAGAAAATGCTTGCAGCTGAGCTCAATGACCTGAGTTTGATCCCCCAAGCTTATATGGTAAAAACAGAGAACCTGCTCCTGTGAATCATCCTGTATACAATTCTGTCTCACTCTCTCTTTCTCTCTCTCCCTCCCTTTCCAAACAGCATCCCTGGATTGGCTATATTGATATAACTCTGTGTGCGTGTTTGGCCAGGGTTAAACTTTATTTGGGGGGGGGGGAGTGTTGTAACTCTAGGCCAAGATTGACAAACCATGGCCCATGAGCCAAATCTGGTCCTTTGTCTGATTTTGTTAATAAAGTTTTATTAGAACATAGCTATACATTTTTTTACCTGGTGAGTGAAGGCTGCTTGTTTGTTTCCTGGCCATCCAGATTCCTGAAATAATCACACAGAAATGTGTATTAATTGCAATACTGTTTGACCAGTAGCTTAAACATATATGTGGCTAACTCATATTTTAAATTAACCCATTTCTATTAATCTGTGTATTGCCACGTGACTGGCTTACGGGCAAGGTTCCGGTGGGCTCCTTCGGAGGCGGCTATCTCCTGTAGGTGGCTACATGGCTTCTCTCTGACTCTGCCTACTCTCTATGTATATCTCTTTCAGCGTAGCTATATTCTGTTAAGCCATTGGCCAAAAGAAGCTTCTTTATTAACTAATAGCACTAAAACATGTTCACAGCATACATCACCTCCCACAGTTCTTATTGGGTTTTGCTGTTGTTGTTTCATGTTACAAAAAAGTCAAGTAGTTGCAGCAGAGTTGTCAAAGTCCAAAATAATTTGGACCATTGTAGAAAATTCGCTAACACTTTTTCTAAATCAGAAAAATCTAAACCGTTTGGTTGAGTACATTACTGGCTGAGAAGCCCTACCTTGACCCACCCTGGCAAAAATGGGGAGTATAAAGAGTCTTTCTAAGTTTTATAGGAATGTCCTTATCCCTCCTTTCTGGGTAAGAAGACTGGATGAATGTGGGAGATCATTTAAACAGGTGACATTCTAACTAACGGGAAAGGACACACTGGTTTGTAGAGGAGAAGGAGTACTAGAACATTGCTATCTAAACATAGGAACTTGTAGACTAGGGAAGTTGTAGACAGAAAGACACAGATGGACTCTGATGTTCAGAGCAATCTGTGAAAGGCTCTTCACTGAAAAAATGCCCTTGTGATGTTCTCCTGATGGTTGCGAGTGCCTTAGATTTTCCTGCCTGCTCTCCTGTCAGGTGACTTGGAACATAATTTGATCTTCATTCGTCAGAGCCTTCTGAACTGTTCAGCAGAGCCTGCCCTTTCTCACACAGACACATGCTATTACCTCCAGATGTCCTTGGTTTCTCCATTCTCACGTTGTTTCTCAGTTGTCCCACCTGCTGGCGGCATATACACATGAGACGGGTTATATTGGCTGGCTCTTCAAAAACCAGGAGTGGATTCAGTTATTTGAGTTGACTGAGAAGCTATCCTGATGTTTACTACCTGACCAGACAGTCTTAGAGGAAGTGTAGTCAACTTGCGGACCCTACTGATGCTGATGCCATTTCTCGGAAACCAGCAGTCATGAGAACTACTTCCTTTTTGGGAGCACTATTGTGGGGTGTGTCCTAGACTATGCTGCTTGTATGGGAACCAGGTATTAATTTTCCTTTCTATACACTGGTGATGAATGATCATGATCAATTTTTAAGAATTCAAAGAAACACCACTGGTAGATTATGAGGCCCTCAGACAACCGTGGAGAGCTCTCCAGACTGAGGCTGCCTTTTGTTACTCAGGGAGGGCTTTCTAGAGGAATGTGAATGGTGGTGTCTGCATACCTTGCTATTCCTACAGTAAAACCATCCACTTGTTTTCTTTGACTTTAGCTGAAGTGACTGATGCTATGTTGCCTCTGGTGGATGGTATTTACAAGTGTCGTGAGTCACTGCCAAGATTCCATGTGGCTTTCTGAGGTAGCCACTGAAGGTTTATAGAATTGTTCTTCTTGCTGAATCTGGGATTCTGGCCTCATACTTGGGTTTACTATTGCAAATTCACCTCATTGTACTGCTAGTAATTTTAACTATATGAGATGAATAGAATGAACTAATGCCAATTCTTGTCAGTTGGGCACAGTGGCTGATGAAGTGGTATATGCCTCAGTTCTCTAGAAGTCACTCTGGTGTAGAAACAGGGTCGGTATTGATGGGAGACATGTGTTTAGGAGTCTTGCTTTTCTGTTTGTTCTGAAAAGTCAGGCAGTGACTGTTCTTGGTGAACATGCTTTGTCTTTGTATTGAGGGTGCTTGTATGGTAAGTAGCATTGGAAGACTGCCTGTCAAGAAACAGGAGACAAAATATTGAGCATTAAAAAGAATTTTCCTACATGAGCTGCTTGCCCATACTGGTGTCATCTGGCCTCTCTGTGTCACCCTGTGGGAACCAGGTCTTAAGCAGCTCAGGTGCCTGTCTTCTGTAAAACACAAACTGCACTTTTTGCAGAAGCCTAATGCACTCTCTGGTTATTGTGAAGTTGCCAGGCTAACTTAGTTGTTTGCCCTTAGTTGTCTTAGGCCCTTCCCAGTTTTTGACGTGTTTAGGTTGCTTTTTATAAACCTATAGCATATGATTTTTTTTCACTTTTTGTTGATATAATAGTAGTCTGTCTTTAATTTGGGTAGTTTGGCCAGTTACATTTAATGTAATTATTGGCATATACTTTTTATAGTGTCTTCCAGGTTTGTCTTCAATGTGCTTTGTGGTCAAGCATGATCTTGAACTCACTTCCTGCTTCTGCTTCCTACATGCTAGGATTACAGGCCTGCCCCATGTGATTGGTCGATGCCATGCTGGAATGTATCCAGTCAAGCACCCTACCACCTATGTTGTTGGAGGCTGCTTGTTTGTTCCTGGCCATGCAGAACCAAAATAACCACACAGAAACTAGATTATTTGCAATACTGTTTGGCCAATAGCTTAAGCATATTTTTAGCTAGCTCTTACATCCTAAACTAGCCCATCTCCATTAATCTGTGTATCGCCACATGGCTGTGGCTTTCTAGGTAAAGTTTCCTTCTCAAGTGGGACAATATGGCTTCTCACTGACTCTGCCTTATTTCTCTCTATATATACACCTGATCTTCACCCCTCCCATCCAGTAATGATTATGCATGACTATTTTAGCCATTTTCTGTTTGCCTAATGCCTTTTCCTTTCCTTCTGTCTGAACCCATTTTGAATCAATAGGCAATAGCATGTGATTTCATTTTATGTCCAGGGCTAGCTTACTAGTTTTACCTTTGTTTTTAAGTAGTGGTTGTCCTGGGGTTTGTGACATGCATATTTATTATATTGAGCCTTCACATATGTCCCTTGGTATATGAAAACCTAACAACAGTGTTTCCAATTCCTTCTTCCTATCATGGTCCTGTATATTTACTCCTATGCAAGTTAAATAGGTCCAGATTTACAGCTGGCGATCATGCTTGTCTGATGTAAAAACTTCCTCTAATGTTTCTTATGATGTTTCTTAAATGTATTAGCCATCAGTCCTCTTAGCTTTTGTCTGAGATGTCTTTTCTTAGCTTTCACCTTTGAAAGATGTTTTGCTTGGGGTGGATTCTGGGTTGACAGTTTTCCTTCTGGCATTTTAAAGTTATCGCTGCATGACCGTGAGGCCTGTCTGGTTTCTTATGAGAAGCCTGCTGCAAATCTTACTCATCCCTCTACAGAATGCTCCCTTTTCTCTGCCTGCCTCCAAAGAGTTGCAGTACTTTGAATATTTTTGTACATGTTTTCTGTTTGTTAGTTGTTAATGGGGGCAGGCTGACCACTTTCTGTCTTTGTTTAATATCTTTCACTGTTTTTAGAAAACTCACAGCTGTGTAATTCATTTCCACAGCTGTTTCTCCTACAGGAATTCTAGTCATATGTGTATGTGTGCCCATGCATGCACACACGAGCTTCCACACACTTTTTTCTTTGTATTTCAATTTGATTTTTTTAAAAAAAGATTCTTATTTATATGTGTATGTGTGCGTGTGAGCATGAGCAAGTGAAGAGAGCATTGCATCCCCAGAGCTGGAGTTAAAGGAGGTTAAGAGCTGCTGCTCGTGCTCTGGAGCAAGCTCTTTCAACCGCTGAGCCATCTCTCCAGCCCCGGCTGACACATCTGAGGCATTTATTAGTTCTGTTTCTTACACTTAATAGTCCTTTGAAGAAATACTTCCTCTCTGATACCTTAGAGGTTTCCCAGTGTTTCCATTTGATTTGTTTATATCATGTCTATGTCTGCTGAAATTCTCTTGATGTTTCCTGCCTTTTTTTTTTTTATTAGAGACCTTCATGTATTGGTTTGAATTATTTTGAAGTTCCATGGTCTGGTGGTTCCAGTATGTGGGCTGCCTCTGCATCGGCTGCTTAGTGCATGGCAGTAGAGTCTCTTGCTTGCTTCTCTTGTGTCTTCCATTGTAGCCTAAGACTGAATATACTGTGAAAGACGCCAGGGACTGAGGTAAATAGTGTTTGTGCCTAGAAAAGAGCTTACTGCTGTGTGACCATTAATTTGGGGAGTTGAGCTAGGAGATTCCGGAGTTGGCCTAGTTGATTTCTACTGGTTGTTCTGGCTGTATTGGCCAAAGCATCTGTGACATCTTCAGCTCCTATTTTTCCATAAGAGACTCAGATGTTTGTCTGAGTCCCAGGGACCAGTGTATTCCTGCTCTTTACAAAAGAGATGCATGCCCGGAGGCAGCGGTGCTTTCTGCCTGCCTCAGTGACTATCTCTATAGGCTGTCCTCTTTCTGGCAGTGGAGGAATGAGGCTTGCAAGTGACTCATGTGTTCGTCCCACACTGCTACCTTGTACTTAAGAATTCATGCTATTCTGGCCTACATTGTTTGCTTCAGGTCAGCCAGAGCTACACAATAAGACTCTATCTCAATAAAACAAACAAAGAATTCATGGTGAAATTTGTATTTAGAATGTTCGAGTGTTGTATAAGGCCACTTGTTCATTCTCGGCTGCCTGGGCCATGAATTAATCACTCAGAAACAGTATTAATTAAATCACTGTTTGGCCAATCACTTAAGGGTATTGTTAGCTAGCTCTTCTCTTATATCTTTGGTTAACCCTTTTCTATTATTTTATATTTTACCACAAGGCTTGTGACCTACCAGCAAGGTTCCAGCTGGTGGCTCACGTCTTTCCCCTCTGGTGGCTCCATGGCATCTCCCTGACTCTGCCTTCTTTCTCCCAGCATTCAGTTTAGTTTTTTCCACCTAGCTCTGTTCTCCTATAACTCTACTATAGGCCCAAAGCAGTTTCTTTATTAATGGTAATCACAGCATACAGAGGGGAATCCCACATCATGCAAGACCTTGGGTTTGATTCACCAACATCAAGAAAAAAAAAGGAAGGATTCCTGAGAAGTTTAGTTGATTACACAGCAGCTCCCTTCCTCTTTCATTACCTGATGCTCTGCCCAAAATCAGGGAATTTGTGTGAGGGACTTGTTTTATCTTGGGTTTTGTTTGGGGTGTATGTGAGAGAGATAGAGGGAGGGAAACAGCAATAGATAAGACTCCTTACTGGTCAGGAGCTCACTAGGTAAGTTAGGCCAGCTGACAGTGAGCCTCAGCCCATGGATCTAGCCACGTATCTACATCCCCGGTACTGGGGTTACAAACACAGGCCACTCCATGTGCTTGGCTTCTTAATGATGGTCTGTCTTAGTTAGGGTTTCTGTTGCTGTGAAGAGATGCCGTGGCCATGGCTGCTCTTAAAAGAACACATTTAATTGGGACTTGACAGTTTAGTCTGTTATGGCTGGAAGCATGGTAGCACGCAGGCAGACTTGGTGCTGGGGAAGCAGCTGAGAGTTCTACATCTGGATCCTGATGGCAATGGGAAAAGGACAACATTGGGCCTAGCTTGGGCTTTTGAAACCTCCAACATCCCTTCCCCTCCAGTGACATACTTCCCTCCAACAAGGCCACACCTACTCCAACAAGGTGATGCTCGTAATCATTCTCAAGTAGTGCCACTACCCGATGACTTGGCATTAAAATATATGAGCCTTTGGGAGCCATTCTTTTTCAAATCACCACAGGGTTCAAAAGATAGAACTGAAAACAAGATTTTAGTGACTAAGCCATCTCCCCAGCTTTGTTTGTTTTTGAGTCCTGGTCTAGATATAGTATTTGTGCCTACTTCCAGGATGGCCTGGAACTCAGAATGTAGACCAGGCCTCCTCACAACCAGATTTTCCTTCTTCTGCCTTCCAAGTGCTGGGACTACAGGTTTATCACTATACATAGCTTTTTAAAGCTACTGGGTTTTGACTCAAGGGAAGGACTCTTTCTTTGGTCTTTGCAGATTCATTGTTCTTGTAAAGTGGGAATGATAATTACAGTGACAATACAAACTATAACTATGTCTCTAGAGGAGGGGCAGTTGTAGGTGTTAGTGCAGTCATGCATGTGAGAGGACTTAGTACACAGGGTTCCCATAGAACACTGACCACTGCTTTCTAATATGTCATTTGTTTTCTTTTCTTGTTTTCAGAAATGATCAGAACAGAGAAATAAACCCACAACAGAATCACCGCACGAGAGCCACCGAAAGTGCCGAGACAGAGCCAAGAAACAAGCGGAATAGGAATTAGTATGGGCTTTCGCCAGCTTTTCCATACAGTGACCAGAATATAGTTTTTATTGCCATGTTTAGCAATGCCCAATGACAATGTTTAATTATAATTGTAATAGTTAATTTATTATTTCATTCTTCTTTGCCTTTCTAGAAAAGAAAACAAAAAAAAGTTATAAAATGATCCTTGAGCTTCTTGGTCAGTTGCTTCCTTCTTTTAAGACATTTCTCCCCTAAAAACATAATCACTAGCTTTGCACGGCAGACACATTCCTCATCAGGGGTGTTTGCTCGGTTTGACTCTATTTCAGGATGTTTCTAAGTCATTTTCACTTTTCGCCATTGGCGAACCAGCCCCAGCAAAAACTTCTTTTCTTCCTCATGACAGTAATAAGCTAGTAAGAATAACATGCTTTATCGTAATCTCTTTGTCTGAGTGCCTGTTGCCAGGCTGCTGGCAGTTAGTGGTCAGTACCTAAGTTGTCTGTTAGACACACCTGTGTCTTCATAGCATAGGGTTTTATTGTAAAGTCACAAAGTTAGTTTTATAATTTTTAAAAAGGCAGGTAAGTTGGTAATGTAATTTAAGGTTACAGTCGTAGGAGCTCTGAAGCATGTGTGTGTTCTTCTGAAGTGACACTTCACTTAAAAAATAGTACTGCTAGCCCCTGGGGTCAGGGAGGTCTCTAACACTTTTACTCCCAGCTGTTAAACAAAACAAATAAATGGGTTTTACCAATGAATACACAATTTGTAATTTCCTTGAAATAGTATGTTGTATTTGAATAAAGGCTATAAATCTTTATATTGCGTTTGTCATAAAATTTGTTATTGTGTTCAAAATGCCTTCAGTTCCCAGTTTTCCCTGCCTTTGTTTGGCATTTCAAAGCAAGCCTGCCCTCCTTGACCCCTCAGCCACTGTGCGGCCCAGACACACAAGCTTTCACACGCATCGCACATATTGCTGGTTTACAACAGTGGCCTTATTGCTGGGAAACCATTTATGGCTTCTCCTTTCCAGAGAATGTCTCTGATGCTAGCTTTTTGCTGTGCTTTGGGGCTTCTGACAATGTGTATGGGGGGCAGGGGACTGAGAGCTTCCTCATTATGGCAAGAGTTGAATGTTTTCACACTGGCTCTACCCCTGATATTTCTTATGAGTTCCCTGAGTTTGGGAAACAGACAGCAGTACCACTCACTGAATCTGTCGGTGGATCTGCTATAGGATAAGTGAGCTGAGTTACCAGGATTAGGCTATAGCGAAAGCCATGCTTCACTTAAAGTGACATAATCTGCTATATTAAGTTGGAAACAATTGTATTTGCAGCAAAAGCAGTTTGCAGAGGAGAGATACAACACAAGTCGGGGAACCAGGCACATGGATCCAAACAGTAACCTCCTATCAGTCACTGTACTGAACACTTAGAATATAGCGATGGCCAGCACTCAGTCCATTCTAAAACTGGTTCTCAGTGCAATAGGAGTCTGTTCCTCAGGGACAGTTGAACAGAGTAGGGAGATGGTTTCACTCACTAGGACTTGAGGGGGTTGGAGGAGCATTACCATTTGGGCACGGGCTGCTGTCAAACACTGTCCTGCCTTATCACCTTGAACATTGACTTTTCCTCTCAGTTCTAGGGCCTGGAAGACTAGATCAATAGAATAGGTAGGGTGTGTCTTCTCAGGCCTCTCCTTTGCTCGTAGACGCTGCCTTCTTAGAGTGTCCTTACGAGGTCTTCCCTCTGCACACGTGTCTGTCAGATCTCTCCCTGTGAGGACACCTCTCATGCTGGATCAGACCCTTTTCTGTGACCTCATTTTACTTTACCTCTTAATGAGTCTCTGTAATTAGTCTTGCTCTTAAGACCTCCCACATTTATGACGCGGAGGGGCACAGTTTAGCCTCTGAGAGTAATTGTTTCAGCCAGTGGTTCTCAACCTTCTTAGTGCTGTGACCCTTTAATATAGTTCCTCATTTTGTGGTGACCCCAACCATAAATTTATTTTTGTTGCTACTTCATAACTGTGAATTTGTTACTGTTATGATTGTAATGTAAGTATGTTTCTGATGGCCTTAGGCTACCCCTGTGGAAGGGTTATTCGACTCCCAGGGGGTTGGGACCCACAGGTTAAGAACCACTGATCTAGGTTGAAATCTCAGTGGTACCAAGATTAAGAATAACATAAAGGAACTCTGTGCTGGCCTGAAAAGCAAAACTTAATGGGCACTGCATTTGTGCCCTCTGTGTGTGCACTGAAGGGGAAGTGTGCCTATTTCACAAGGACTGGGGAATTGAATGCACATTTGATCCAGAATCGGACACAATAAGCTCCTTATTATAAAATTTACCGTAGTAGAATTCCGGTCTCTTCCTGTCATTCACTAGCCCTTGATTTTTTTCTTCTCCTGTGTCCTCAAGGACATGGTGACTGCTGTCAGTTAAACTGGCTCAGAATAGCAGTGACGCAAAGTTTGTGTGAATGGGTGTTAAGGGAGTTTGTTCTTTATCGTGTGAGTCCCAGGATCAAATTCAGGTCATCAGGGTTGCCAGCATGTGGCCCCCACTTGTATCTTCTAGGGGCACATCCTTTCCTTTTCCCTAGTATTTTCAGGTATCATCAGGCCTCTGACCATTCAGAATTCAGACAGATACAAGTCTTAATATGTTGTTGCCCTCCTGATAATTCTTCCAGGCACCTGCCCCACTTCCACCCTGTCCCCTGGCATAGCTACAGATCAGAGAGAGCCCGTCTTGCTTAGAATGCTGTCCCTGCTGCATCTACTTCTGACCCTCCTGGCCTTTCCATGTTCTAAGTGGAAATGATGGCAGTGGGCCCTTTTGGTTTGATATTCAGCTTGACCAGGACCCTTTGTGTCCCTCATCATTTACACCTTGCATCCTTTGTTCAACTATTAGGACCGAGTGGTCAGTGGTATACAAAACTAGGAGCCCCTGTTGTGGACCAGGAGAGAGAAGCATTTATCACGTAGTTACACAAATGAACATATTTACAAGTGCAGCAAAGAAAAGTGTGGCATTGTGAGAGAAACTGACTCCTCCAGGACTACCCCCCCTCAAATACACATACATACTCATGCCCAAATAAACACGAATATGTGTGCATACGCACACACACAGTGCCTTTATTTGTCTGAAATTCCACAGCTCTCTCTCTGGGATATGTGCTGTATTTTGCACAAATATTTTTTTTTCAGACATTTCGGTTACTTCCGGGTTTTCTGGTCATAAATGGTTCTGAACAGGGTACCGCTTTTTCACGTGGTTGCTTTCCGAGGGTCCCAGCCATTCAATGACTAGAACAGCTTTGAAGAACATGTGACCAGGTTTTCAAAAGCACCACAGTCTGAGCTTCCATACAAGTTTGCTCTGTGTTTTAAAATAATATTAAGGAACAGATCGGAGCACCCAGATGGAGATTTCAGCAAGTACATGAGGTTTTCTGTGTGTTTCTGTTAACGCAAAGTGGAGGACCTAAAACTGAAGGGAAGAATTCCATGGAGTTACAGGCAAAGGTCCAAAAGACTTGGTGTTCTACTATGGTAGCTTTAATATTTAGGTCTCTGACAGGTACAACTAGAAAATTCTTGTTTTGTGACCCAGACTTTGGGTAGCAGTTGGGTGCACAGCACCTGAATGCATTCACATTCTGGAACTGATGCCAGTCTAACGCTAACCAAAGAAACCCAGCTGGGTTGGATGTGGCACGGTGAACAGGCAGCAAGCAAGGCTGGCATTCTGCCGTGAATGCCTTTGCTTGAATGGGAGCCCAGGGGGAGAGCCTGAATTCTAACTTTAGAGCTCACAAGTGACTATTTAATGCGTAGGGGTCCACATAGCATTGTTCGTTTCTGTTCTGATCATGTAAGCACCGCTTTTATGTAGCCCCTGCGTTTGAACAGCCTTATATTGAACGTATATGGCTGTTAACAGTCTTCTCTGCTAAATGTACTTTTAGGTCACCTTAAATTCATTGGTAAGTAAAGACCCTTTCAAATGGGATGATTAATTTGTTTTCAATGCTGAGAACACAGTTAGAGGCTCATGCATGCTAGGTAAGCCATGGTTCACTAAGCTGCTGCTGCCTCGGCCCCTGGGACATTTCTTCAGTTTTAACCATTTGAATCCTAAGAATATCTGCAGATTTTTAAAAACTGAGCAGCATAAATGAAAGTTTCTGAAAGTGTGATATCTATAAAGAGCCATTTAATATCTGCTTTTATTACTTGACACTGATTTACCTGTGTTAAACACTTGAGGGGATTTATAATCCCAGCACTCAGGAGGCAGAGGCAAGTGGATAGATGTAAATTCGAGGCTAGCCTGATCTACAGAGTGATTCTAGGATAGCCAGAGTAACAGTGAGACCCTGTCTCAAACGTAAAACCAAAAAGGCAACCAAGAAAGACAGCAACAGCCAAGCTTGACGGGCTTTTAAGGTGGAGTGCTGACATTTGGTCCGAGGAGAGGCGCTCAGCCACTTCGTCATAGAGTTCTAGAAGCGGAGACTAAAGGGGCGTGCTTATCTAGATCTGTTTGAAGATCATAGAAAATTTAATCATTGCTGCTCAGAAGTTGAGAGTACATTTCCCTCCAAATCATCTTTTGTCCAGAGCTGTTGCTGGTTTTGTTTTTCTAGGGAGAGTTGTGAGCTTGTTCTCTTTGAATCCACTTACTCCCCATGTCATGCAGTGTTTGAAAAGAGGCAGGGTTCTTTTAAGGTACAGCGGAAGTTCTAGTGAAGGATGCCGCGTAAGCTGAAATGGAATGGAGCCCCAAAGAGAAGTGGGGTGCTAAAGGAACTTGCTAGCCAAGAAGTCGGTCAGGGGGTTGGCAAATTATAAATAAACGTAGGTAGATAGGATAGAATGCTTAGAAACAAGTCAGAAATCAAACACTAGACCACAATGTGCGCTTGGGCAAAGGGGGTTGAACTATGAAGGCATTCTACTGTCCTTGACATTGTTTGAGTGGCATTGATCTACTTCACAGCCTAAGATAAGGACCATATTATTCCTATAACCTTGAGAATAAACACTAGTGACTACAAACTCTGAGTGTTCCAAGCCTGAAAATGGAAATAAGGGAGAAAGGGAGGAAAGCAATGTTTATAAACGACAAAGCAAGATAAGTCCAATATATCGATAATATGTATGTAAATCACCACATACAAACTTGTGCAGTGTTGGTTTTTAGGTAGGGTTTTGTTTTGTAGCCCATGCTGTTAACAAACTTCATCATCCTTCTGCCTCATCCTTCTGAGTGCCAGGATAATAGATAAGTGTAAGCCACCCTGGCTGGTAGCTTTACGTGGCTTTAGAGACATGCAGGAAGTAAACCGTAGGAGATGCTGCCAGCTAGATTGGGTGTAGCAGCGATAGTGCCACACTAGCTCTCCTGGGTTTGGGGGTTGGTTTTTGTAGTCTGTTACTGAGGGTGAAGCTCAGGGCCCCACATGCTCAGCAAGCGGTCTACCACTGAACCACATTCCTCGTCCTTTATTCCACTGTGAATTAGTGAGAACCTATGAGAGCTGGAGCTTGGATTAGCATTGACAAAGGGATGCGCTCTGCATCTAGAGCACTGGAAGCATGGTGTGCTCAAGACTTACTTAGTTCAGTTCCTGCGGAAGGATGGCAGCGGATGTTGCCCTGGAGAGTCGAGTGCCAGCTTTGCTGGAATTTGCCTTGGTGTTACTTCACTTCCCTTATGGTTTCCTCTGCAGTTACACTTCACCATGCCCCGCCATTCAGTTGACAGATCCCTTACTTTTATGTG